TTTATCTACTTTATTTATTTTCTCATTATTATTATTTTATTCAGTATTTATTTATTTTATTCATTTATTTTCATTAATTTTTAATTCCCCTTTTTTAATTTATTGCAGTTGATGCAATCCGAGAAACAACATTATCAAACTTCCTTATTCCTTGTGGATCGACCCTACTTCTCTATACTAATTTATTTATTTAAGAATTAGGAATTATTTTTTGGGTAAATATAACGTTTGTCAATGTTTCCCAACACAACCCAATAAATTTAAGAGGTCTTGAAATAGAATTATTCAAAAGTTTGATATATTGCCCATATTTATGAAATCAAGACTAAGATTTCATTTACCAAGTAGGGAGGTAAATCGATCACAGCGTATTCCAATCTACCGCAAAGTCTTTGGCAATAGATGGATTACTACTAGTGCATCTAAATGAGATGAAATAAAGATGCAACACTCTTGAAAAGGTTTACTAAAAATGATTGAATCTATGATTTTCTTGCTGGACTAAATGTTGAATTGGATGCAGCAAGAGTCTAAATTCTTGGAAAAGAAGATTTTCCCTTACTAAATGAAATGATTACAATTATTCGTGCTAAAGAAGAAAGAAGAGGGGTTGTGATCAAGAACAGAGAGAAGTGCTAGAAACTTCATACAAAGCCACAGACAATAAGTAAGAATTTTTAGAAAAAAAGGTGGACAATCAAAGGGGCAAGAAAGAGCGTATACAACAAAATAACTAGTTGGAGAAGACCCTCTAAAACCACCCATTGAATTCAATAGAGAAGAAATCAAAAAAACTAAAAAAACTTGATGGGAACAATGAAGAAGCCTTCTTCAGCAGGTACTTGTACTCTGACATTCTCAATTATATCCTCTTCTCAAAACTCTAAAGCCTCGAATATACTCTCCAAAAGTTCCTGGGTAATGACTCAGACAAACTGCTCTCACAGATTTACCACTTGTATACCCTGTCCTAGTAATAAAAAATAACAGTTGCAGATGGCATTGTAATTATAGTAGCTAGAAAGGGGGATATTGTTGTAATTGAAACCCTCACACTAAAAAATGTCCTTAATGTACCAAAACTATTTACTAATTTTATCTCTATCCAGAAAATCACCAAAGACACTAACTGTAGTGTACTCTTCTATCCCCGCTCGATGTAGTTTTTAGGAACAAGGTACAGGGAGGATGATTAGACATGCTAAACCAATAAATGGCCCCTGGTGGACAAGTTAGTGCTCTGAATTCCTCACCATTATTCCTTCTCTCAAAATCTAAAACCATTAAAGACTAAATATGGCTCAATCATCTCCGCCTTGGTCATCCTTCTTTTAGAATTCTAAAAAATATGTTCCCTTCTCTGTTCAAAAGTTTAAATGTGGAAAAGTTCCATTGTGATATTTGTGAGCTTGCAAAACATAAACGCACGTCTTTTCCAGTGAGCAATAAAAGAACCTCCAATTCTTTTACTCTTATTCATAGCGATGTTTAAGGGCCATCCACTATTCCAAACATGTTTGGGGCTCGATGGTTTATCTCTTTTATCTATGATTATACTCTACTATCTTGGATATTCCTTCTAAAAAATTCTGATGTGAACTCTACCTTAAAAACCTTTTACAACATGATTAAAACCCAATTTAGGGCTTAAATAAAGAGGTTTTGATCTGACAATGCCAAAGATTACTTCAATCAAGTCATCTCACCTTATTTTTGAGAAAAAAACATAATATATGAGTCTTCATGTGTTAATACACCTTAGCAGAATGATGTAGCTGAGAGAAAAAATGGTCATATTCTTGCCATCACAAAAGCCCTCTTGTTCTAGAAAAATATTCCTAAATAGTATTGGGGGAAGCTATCTTGATTGTCACTTACATAATAAATAGACTGCCTATAAAGGTCCTTGAGTCTCAAAGCCCTATACAAATCCTAACAATTTTTTCCTAATTTCAATGCCTCATGTACTCTTAAGCCCAAAATATTTGGTTGTGTTGCCTTTGTTCATATACATTCTTAAAATTGGGGAAAACTTGATCCAAGGGTAGCAAAATGCATTTTTGTTAGTTATTCTTTCACTCAAAGGGGTACAAGTGCTACCATCCTCCCACGAGAAAACACTTTATTTCTGCTGATATCAATTTTGTAGAGGAAGAAAACTACTTTACCCATCCTTATCTTTAGGGGAGATTTCATTTAGGGAAGATAAGGACAAAGATATTTTCCTCTTTGATTTTCCGGCAGCTCCATGCACTGTTTCTAATAATCAACCAACTACACAACAGTTTCCTACCAATCAGTCAGCCCAACAACATGACCTAGCATAACCTATTTCCATCCAATCCGAGGAGACCAAACCTATTATACCCAAAACACAACAAGGGGTTCAGGACACTGCTCGTCCCTTACTGGTTTATTCAAAGAGAAAGGCACCGATGTAAGTTAAATAATACTCTTTTCCTATACAACCCGAGGTAATTGATGAACCTGAGCCTATCTCTAATGAAAATAATACTACTGAAAACTCTGACCAAATTACTGATCAAAGGTATTTTAACTTTCCTATTGCAATTAGAAAAGGAACAAGAGCTTGCACAAAACATCCTTTGTACCTATTGATGTCCTACAAAAACTTGTCTTATAACCACAAAGCCTTCATTTCTAGCCTAAACTCCATTTATATTCCCAAAATTGGATCTGAGGCATTAGAAGATAGAATTCAAAGAATGTTATGCATGTTGATATGGAGGCACTCAAGAAGAGCAAAATATGGGAATTGGTAAAGCTACTAGAAGAGAAGAAATCAATAGGATATAGATGGGTATTTATAGTAAAGTACAAGCCAGATGATTCGTTAGAGAGGTACAAAGCGAGATTAGTGGCTAAGGGGCACTCTCAAACTTATGGGATAGACTATCATGAAACATTTGCTCCTGTTGCAAAGATGGACATAGTGAGAGTAATGTTATCATTATCTGTCAATCAAGGATGAAAATTACATCAATTTGACATCAAGAACGCCTTCTTACATAGGGATCTCGAGGAGGAAGTATATATGAATATTCCACCATGATTCGATTTAAATACTGGTTAGACAGTGTGCAACCTAAAAAAGGCTCTATATGGACTAAAACAGTCCCCAAGAGCATGGTTTAGGAGGTTTACCAAAATAATGCTCAAGCTAGGATATAGGCAGAGTCAAGGTGATCATACATTGTTTATGAAACACTCACCTTCAGGGGGAGTAACTACCTTACTAGTCTATGTAGATGACATTATAGTTACAAGGGATGATTTGGAAGGAATGGATAATTTAAAAAAGTGTTTAGTCAAGGAGTATGAAGTCAAGGAGCTTGGCAGACTAAAATACTTCCTTGGTATTTAAGTGGCACATTCTCAACAATGGATCTTTATATCACAACAAAAATATATCATAGATTTGTGGACAGACCGACGAATTGGGATGCAAACCAACAGAGATGCCTATAGAGGTTAATCACAAGCTTGAAGATACAACAGAAGACACAACAATTGACAGAAGCTCCTATCAAAGGCTTGTGGGAAAACTATTCTATTTGTCATATAATATACCAGATATTGCATATGCAGTTGTTGTTGTAAGTTAATTCATGCACAATCCTAAAGATTCACATCTAAGGGCTGCGACTCAAATCCTACAGTACCAAAAAGGCACTCTAGGTAGAGGAATGTTGTTTAAAAGGGGAGAAAAACTAACTTTGGAAGCATAAATTGATGCAGACTATACATGGTCCATAGTCGATAGAAGGTCAACCTCAGGTTACTGTACTTTCATGGGAGGAAACCTTGTGACTCGGAGGAGCAAAAAACAAAATCTTGTGGCTAAATCTAGTGCATAAGTTAAATTTAGGGTAATGACCATTGGAGTTTGTGAGTTGTTATGTTTGAAAATCATTTTGTAAGATTTAAAAGTCAAGTGGGAAGGTCCATAAAGTCAAATGGGAAGATCCAATGAGATTATATTGTAATAATAAATCTATCATAAACATTGCACATAATTCGGTCCAACATGACAGAACAAAGCACATTGAGGTGGACAGACATTTCATAACAGAAAAATTGGACATGGCCTGATTTGTACTCCTTATATATCCACTGGAGATCAACTAGCAGATATACTCACCAAAGGATTATCTGTGAAGCATTTTTAGAGTTTAACAAGCAAGTTGAGAATGGATGATATCCACTTCTCAGTTTGAGGAGGAGTGACAGAAAGTAACTTCCTAGTTTAAGAAGATTGTGTGAAATTAATTAGGAGATATTGTAAATATTCTAGTATTTGTAATCCCTAATTCTAAAAGTTTTAGTCTTTCCTTATAATTAATTAGTTATCTAGTTTAGAAGTTTCCTAAGTTAAGTCATCTGCTTGTATATATATTAGTGTAACGTTCCTATGAAAGATATATCAGAATTTCAGTCCATTTCTATAATTTCAGTCAAAATCTTATGATATTCGGGAAGACATCCTTGGAGCCTTGGTGATTGCCTTTTGTCAGAACCAGATCAATCAACAATTTCTCTAGATAGTTTTCATTTCAATAAAATCTGATGTTCACAAAAACTTCTTTGGAGTCTTAATAGTTGGCTTTCTGCGCTTATTCTCTCTTTAACTTTATAACATTCCTTCATAAATTTGGGGAGCAGTGCTGGGTGGGTTGTAATTTTTATCTTATTAAGTAGAACAGAATGATATTAGCATGCTGATTTCTGGTCTTCCTTTGATGGCAACTCTGGTATCGTAGTTCAACTTTTTCAATATGGCTTTATGTAAAATGATTTGTCTTCTTTTCACAGTGTCAATCTACCTCATATAATTTACCTTACATTCCCTTTACTTGGTATCACTTTGTGGGCTCCTTGAACTGCATTATTTCTTATCATCTCTCTAATGCGCTGCTATCAATTCAAGTTTCACCCCTGTTGTACTTTCCTGATTCTTAATTTGCTTCAACCTTTGGCAGATTGGTGGTACTTGCGGTCAACCTTTTGTACTTTCTCAACAGTTCTTGCACAGTATTCCTAAGTCTCTATTTACTTGCAATACAGGCAAGAGAGCAGCTAATTTTTCTGCTTGGATTCGCGTAAGACAAAATGATCTTATGGAAGGGGGAATTAATCTGACTACCGATTTGCAATGTGGTGATATTTTCCATTTGTTTTCTCTGGTTTTTTCTGGTGAACTTTCTTTTTCCCCATGCTTACCAGATGAAGGTGTTGGAGAAGCTGAAGACTTGAGAAGCTTCAAACGTAGAGCTGAGGATAATGAATTATGTGATGCAGATAAGGCTAAGAAATTAAAATCCGTTGCAGAAGGTCAATTTGTTTCACGAAGAGAAAAGGGCTTTCTTGGAATCATGGTATCTGTGTGTCGCACAGAATTTCCAACAACCACTGCTTTAGAATTGTTCACGGATAAAGAGACGTTCAACTCTAAGCTTCTGAATGAAGAAAGTTCACCCAATTTGAACCATATGAGGGAAATGCTTGTGTTCAGTAATAATGTCACCGTAGCATTGAAGTCTAGTGAGTCACCTTGGGAAGCAATGGCTAGTTACACCGAACATATGTTGTCAAATCCTTCTGATGAAGGACAAGGTGGTCACTTTGATGCTGAGATCATCAAGGCTGTTTGCACTGAGATTCAGAAGGCTGGTGACCAAGGTCTGAGCATAGAAGATATTTATAATCTTGTCAAAATGCCAGGTGTTTTTTTGGGGTCATAGTTGTACTTGTGGCTCATTTTCATATTTACTAAAAAAGGATTTATGCCATTATGCATGTAACTTCCAGTTCATTGAATGTTTTGAGATGTTCCTCTTGCAGGAGAAAAGACACCTGAAATTATCATTGATACACTCCAAGCATTTGGAAGACCTATAAAGGTTGTTACAATTGACCATTGGAATATATATTGTCTATTAGTATGCGATATTTTTCTCAAACACGAATTCCTCGTGTCGCTTTCTGCCAATAGTGCAAGGAAGGGGTTATTGTGGAATGTGTCATTAATTACCAGTAGTCATGTTCCAGCATTGCCAATTTAAAATGTTAAAACAAATCTGGCAATGGGGCATCGGTGATTGCATCTTCCAGTTCATTAATTGCTATAGATGGTGATTGTTGAATATCACAGAAAATGTAATACAATAACATAGAATGCACTAGAAACAAAGACAGGGAATTGGTTACCCGATCTTAATGATCCTAGAGATCCCTTGCATTCTAAAAATTTGAATTCTTTAATTTGGATAGAATGCAATAGAAACGAAAACATGAAATGGGTTATCTGATCTTAATGGTCCTAGCTAAACCTTTGATTCTGACATTCTGAATTCTTTAATTTGGAATGAACTAGATCTCCTTAAGTAGAATTTGAACCTACGACCAATCATTTTTCTTGTTGTGTTTTGGTATGTTTTAGGAATGAGGGAGACGAGCACTGCTTGGCAGTTTATACTCTCTTCAAAGCACTAGATGGCTTCTTAACTTCTCATTACCAAATTCTTTTGTATTGATGCTGCGATAACTTTCATACAGGTCAATGCTTATGACTCTGTTCGTGTTGTTGATGCTTTATACCACTCCAAGTATTCTCTAGCCACAATTTCTTGTTTCAATCAAGATCCTAAACAACCTTTGTCACTAACAACTTGGTCCTTCAGCAAGAAAATCAGAGCCTTGATTCTGCTATGTTATTGGGGAGCATAACTGTTGGTCATGCACACAAAGGTACTATTCTTAATCTTCCTGAAGAGCATGCTTTACCTTCCAATGAAATTCCTACTAGTACCAATGCAAATGAAAGCTGCATGTACGATAAAGTTGGCTTATCAAAATGGGATGATGGGGGTATGATTTATTAGCCTTTTGCAGGTCAGCAATTGGTACCTATATTGCCTTGGGTTAATGCAGATGTGACCATCAACAAATCGGTCTACAATGGGCTTGTACGTCGTGTTCTTGGCACAGTGATGCAAAATCCTGGGATATTGGAGGTACCGGACTTTCTGTACATAATAATTATTTAATTTAACGTAATGATTTTTGAAAGCAAATGATGAACAGATTTCATAATTTAAAGTATATGAACTTTTAGAACTCTTTTTTTAACTTCACGAAAAAGAACCTTTTTAACACTGTCAGCAACCTGTTGTATTGCATAAGAACTTGAGAAGCTTCTTTCTTGTCATGAATTCAGTTGTGTTTTCTTTGAAAGATAAAATGTAGTATTCAGTTTCTGAAGAAAAACTCGTCATAATTAACAGTTCGGTTCACGGAGTTATTTCTCAAATTTTGGATTTTCTAAAGAGCTTTCAGCTTTGCAACTATTCTTGCCCAGTGGTGTTATGCCACATTTCTTATTTTTCTCGTACACACCCGAACTTACGAGTAGTGGCCCTCCTGCTTTTCTGGAAACCCTATTCGCAAGTGGCATTAGAAAATCGACATTGATATGCCGCAGCCATTTCTTCGCAAGCCATACGAGTATGCAATCTTTTTTTCTTGTTAGAATGTTGATATTGGTTTCTGTACACCATAGCATTGTTAGAATCTGCAATCTTTTTTTCTTTGGTTTTCATCTTGTTGAAGCAGAGCTGTATGCTTAACAATGGAAGTTGCTCATCACAAACAGAATAGTGCATGGAAAATATGTTGCCTGGGAATTGTATTATGTACATCTATACCATCATACAAAGCTATTCCCATTTGCTTAATGTGCTTAAATTGAGAATTTGGGTGTTGTGGAGGGTTAATTTAGTCTTTGTGAGGTGGGAAAATGAAACAAAAAGAATTATCCTAATCAAAACAATTCCCTCCTTTAACACAAGAATTCCTCCAAAATAATAGAGCTATTTCAAAAATAATTCTTCTTTTTGAGCATAATCATAATCACACTAATATAAATTTAGTTTTTTTAAATGTGATTTTAATTTTTTTTTATATTTATTATAATAGGCTTATATAACAAATAAATATCTAAAATATATAATCTTTTTCGTTATCTAAAGTATTTTTTTCATTATTTTTTTTTTTCAAAATAGGTACCTAAACTATTCATTGTTTCATCTAAGTTTCTAAAGTATTCTTTACTTAATGATACGTGTCAACTTTTTTAGAACTTAGATGAAAAAGTTTGAATAGTTTAAGAACACATTTTGACATAAAAGATTTTAGGTAGACTAAAAAGATAACTTTAGATATTTATTTTAACAAAAAAAATAATTTAGGTACTTAAATGAAAAAGATGATATACTTTGTGTACTTATTTGTGATATAAGCCAAGATAATATAATGCATATAAAATTAAAAGTAAAAAATATATATCGAATTTCTATTTAATTTTGAGTATTTATTATGTATGCATTTGATTCAAATTTTATTTTTTTTGTGTTTTATTAGATTTATTTTAAGATTAATTTTCATAAAAAATTATATTATATTTTATGTTTTTCATTAATTATATAATATTTTATTGTACAACTCATATATATATATAGCAAGAAAAAAATTAAGAAAAGGTGAAGAAGTAAGCGCTTATTTATATTAACTTAGATATGTATAGGGTTGCACATTTGTCGGATTTCAATTCGATCCGGATCAGTTTTTATTCGATCCGATTTTTTTCCTATGGGAAAAAATCGGTTTATAAAATAACCGGTTCGGTTTCTAACCGGTTTGGAGGGCCGGATATCCTAACCGGTGTAACCGGTTTCGATTTTAAAAAAACCGGTTTTTTTTAAAAACCGGTTATAAAAAAACCGATTTTAATATTATTAAAATTACATCGTCATCAATTGCAACAAATTTTACGATAATTTGTTGAAAATATTTTGATATTTCGATATAACAAATTAAGTTAAATGAATTTTAAGATTTTTCAAATGATTTTCTAAGTATATTCGATATAATTATTCAAATATCAAAACATTACTCCAAATATTTCAAAAATCATTTTTAATCCTTACTTAAGTGTAAAATTAAGTTTTAATCTTAAAACAATTTCAAAATAATCTTTCAAAGTATTTCGAACTATTTCAAAGCCAAAAATTCCAGATTGCTCATAGGGAACCGATTCCCCCCAAGGGGGTACCGATTCCTCCCTGAATGGTTTGGCTCCGAGATTTCCAGAATGCTCGGAGGGAACCGATTCCCCCATAGGGGGTACCGATTCCCCCCTATTCAACGGTCGAAATATTTAAATTTTACACTTAGGGAACCGATTCCCTATGAGAGGGAACCGATTCCCTATGAGATGGTACCGATTCCCCCACGCTCAAAGCATTTTTATTAAATGTTTTCACACTTAAACGGCTATATTATCTTCATTAATTATCACTAACGTTCAGAAGTGATTCAAGGTGTATTTAAGCAAGCTTAGAAGCCATTGATCAAAGACAAGAAACATCAAGCAACTAGAATCAAGAGAGAATCAAAGAGAAAGCATCAAACCTCAAGTTCGATAAATTCAAATACTTAATTGAAATACTTAATTAACTCAACATAATTGAAATACTTAAATACTTCCAAGTTTGATAAATTCAAATACTTAAAAACTTCCAAGTTCGATAAATTCAAATACTTAAAAACTTCAAGTTCGATAATTGAAACAAAGTTTACGATAATTGAAATAAAGTTTAAAAATAAACTACATTGCCATCTCTTCTTCATCATCTTCGTCTTCTTCGTTTGGAGGGGATATTCCAAGTTCGACTTCTTCAATGTGTAAGTTTGCTTCCAAATCGGCATCAATTGCATCTTCTAGGGTGGTGATATGTTGCTTACGAGCCGCTCCATCCAAATAATCCTTTAAACAAATGCATACTTCCACCGACTCGGGACTTAGTCTTGATCTCCGTTGCGATATAACCCTGCCACTAACAGAAAAAGCGGATTCCGAAGCTACCGTAGAAGCTTGGACGGTTAGTAAATCACGGGCCATGGCGGCTAGAATCGGAAATTGTGCTTCCTTTTCTTTCCACCAAGCCAAAATATCCAAACTTTCAAACTCTTCAAATGTCATTTTTGATAGAAAATCGCATGACATGTAATTTCCCAACTCGCTACTTGGGGTGGTAGTACGTGATCGTTTGGATTGGGAATTTACAAGAGTGTTAAAAAGATTCAAATTTATGTTACTTGGACGTCTACTAGATGATTCCGCATTCATTCTCATTTGATCGTGTATTACACTACTTGATCCGTATTTAGTTAAATAAATTGCAAACATGTCTCGAAAACATTTGTTAAAATAATTTATTTGGTTTTGGACAAAGTTGGGTTCATCCTCGGTTAGATTAAAAGAAAACGCAATTTGTTCAATTAGTGTTTCAACCCCACCAACATTTAACGTTGGGTTTAAAGCGGCGGCAAAAATGGGGGGAATCTCCTTAAAATATTTTAAAAGTTTTTCCTTCATTGCAAAGCCAATTTCTTGAAAAATTTCGGTTTCAAATTCAAAGTCATTTAGTCGGGTAGCCAACAAAAATATTTGATTAAGAACCAACGGGCTAGTAAGGTAATAAACACCGGATAAAAAAGTTGTTGCATTTTTAAAAACCTCAAGCAAATCGGTTATTTTGGCTATAGTTTCCCAACTCGAATCCGGATAAATGTTTGGGACATGACCCCTCTCGAAAAGCCGATCGTGAAATATTTGCAATGTTTCCCTTTGCCTTAAGGCAGTATGCATCATCATCCAAGTTGAGTTCCAACGAGTTGGACAATCCAAATTAGGACCCAAAGCTTTTTTATTAACGGACTTACAAAATCGTTTACAATCATTTAGTCTTTTGTTGTTGTTACAAAGAACCGATTTTATCATTGTTTTAAATTCTAATCTAATCGGCTCAATAACCTCCAAACCGGCTTGCACGGATAAATCAATTATGTGTGCAACGCAACGGGTATGAAAAAACGCACCGTCTAAAATCGGTGAAAGTAATATTTTCAATCTTGGAACCGCGTTTGTATTATTCGATGCATTATCAAAGGATATAGAAAAAACTTTATTTTCTAATTTATAAAGACAAATTACCCTTTTTAAAAGTGTAAATAAATTAGCACCGGTATACGGCTCACCGAATAATTCAAAAGCGATTGTTCTTTTCATCATTTGCCAATTATCTTGATCTAACCAATGTGACGTAACGGCTAAAAAGGAATTTCCGGTATTATGAGGGGAACTCCAAACGTCACATGTAAGCGACACACCATAACGGTGTTCTTGGAATCCTAAAATCATTTTTCCCTCGCCGTACGCCACATTTTTATAGCATCTCTTCTAAGGGTAGTACGACTTACTTGAGTATAATGTGGTTGCATTAGTTGTTGAATTGTTGTCGTGAAATCTTCATCATCAAAGTGGTCGAAAGGCAATGCTTTTGTAATCACGAACTTTGTAAACGCTTCTCGTAATTTTTCGTTGTCGTAAACAAAAACACCACCTTGCGGTGTAAGATTCGATTGACTAGGATCCGATCTTGAGCAAAGTGCCTTGCATGATTTTGTCAAATGGTTCTTCAACGTTGTGTTTCCTTCCGATGCAAGAAACTTTAGACAAAGTTTACAACGCGCCCTCCTCGAGCCATTTGACATCTCACATAAATCGTAGTGATCCCAAATATCTTTGTTTCGAGTGTGTTCGATCACTCTCACGACTTCAAGGTTTCCCCCGACGGAAGATTCAGCCGTGTTACTCATGATGAACAAAAAATTACAAAAATAAGATTTGAGAGATGTTTAAGTGTTGTGTAATAAGATTTGAGAAAGTTGTAATCAACCAAATACATCCCCAACCTATTTATACATGTTTAGGGTGGTAAAATGGTAATTTTTTAAAGAAAAAAACGGTCAAAAACGGTCATAAAACCCCCCCAACGGCTATATTAACGGCTAGTTTTTTAAACCCATACCGATTTTTTTTTCCGGATAAAAACCGGTTTTTTTCAAACCGGTTTTTTATCCAGTAAAAAAACCGGTCTTGGTTTTTTTTCTTCAAACCGGTTAAAATAACTGGTTTAAAAAAATTCGATCCGGTTAAAAAAAACCGGTTTTTCCCAAATCCGGTTTCGGATATTTTTTTAGCAAAATCGGATATTCGAATTTTTTGTGCACCCCTAGATATGTACATCTCTCAATATTTTAATAACTAGAAATAAACATATATTTTCACCAATATAAATATGTTTCTTATTTTTAAAGAAATAAAAATAGGGTAAATTACATGATTGATCACTTTCGTTTAAGTTTTGTATAATTTTTCTTACTGGATTCAAGAAACATAATATTTTATCACTTTTTTTTATTTAATTAAGATGTAATCACTGAGGGTTAACTACCATTAGACCTTCAATCGATTGCTAACGTGGTACAATGTATATATAACATTAAAAAGGATAAACTACACAATGATCACTAATGTTTGAATAAAGTTTTATTTTCCCCACTAACATTTAAAAAAGTAACAAATTAGTCACTAAAACACCAAATATTTCATTATGTTTCTTCTATTATCTCTCCCTTTCTTCTATTAAAGAAAAGTGGGGTACAAAAAAAATTTGATGAAGCATTTCATACCAATGAAAATGAAAATTAACAAAGCTGTGATCATCCGATCAACAAAGTTCTCAATGAAGCAA